TGAAATCCTGGGAAGTGAGGTTCGGTCTGTCCACCAACAATACCTGCCTTGCCATCAGCCTTGTCTTCCACAGACATTCCTGTTATCTTCCCAAGTTCCTTTTCTCATACGTTTTTGCCTCCATCTCTCCCACCCAGCACAGCAAGGTTAAACCTTTCAAAGCAAGCTCTGTGTGCATTACCCTGTAAGCAAATAGCACCACCTGAATCCACTATCCCTTACCCTTTTCTGAATTAACCCCCTGTAATCACACAGCAAATTGTACGGCAACAGAGGGAACAGGTGATTTTTCATAAAATGTTTACTGGTATCTTCAGATTCTTCACAGAAAAGTCTGCCTGCTCTAAATAAAATGAAATGCTCTTTGAGAGAGAACGTCCAAAGAAAAGCTTCTGCTTAAGTTAATGCAAACAATTAATTGTCAAATGCAGGTACAATTATTTGACAACTCTAAAAAAAAAAAATAAGCTGTATTTATCTAAAAACTGTAACATTAACTCTTCTGGGGGAGCACCATCGGCAAAGACAACCCTTACTAGGAGGAGGCAATGACCATAAAATGCCTGACATTTTGCAACAAAAGCACTTTTTTCTTTTTTAAAAAAAGGAAGTATGCAGGCTCTTCCCATTTCCAGCTATAATCAAGGCAAAGTTTTGATTTTGGCTGGAAAATACATATGTCTATATGTATGTTATATATACATATAAATCAGTGCTGAATTACAGTCACAGCTTCATTGACCCCAAGTTTAGTACTTATGCTTTTGATTTTAAAGTTAAACACCACTTCACATTAAAAGTGCTAGAAGCAGTAAGATTTTATCTTTTAAAAATGTTGGTAGTAAAGGCACGGCAAAAGTAATGAAATTTCATCGTTAGAAGCTAAGAGAAGAATGAGGAGGAAGTACTTCATTAAAGAGAACATCATTTTTTACATGAGAAAAAATAGTGCATTTAAACAGTCTCTTCGTTCCTCTGTCATCAGCTTTAGGCTTAATAATAGTTAAGAAAATTTAAAGCTTTTTTTACTATTATTTTTGACAGCACTGCACTGACAAGGAGAAAGAGAGCAATGTGCATTTCTAACTCAATGTTATGCTGCCAACATTTTAATAGGCTCCCTTCCCATACCCTTTCCTCAGCTATTGATTAAGCCTCTGTGCTGCGGAGAATTAGTAAATAAGAAGTCAGAGTCGATTTTTTTCTTGTTTTCATAACCAGAGGAAAAAGGAGAAAACAACTCTTCACAATCCGTCTGCGTTGGCTCGTGCTGGAAATAGCAATGCTTTATTTCTCATCACACAGACAGCTTGCACCTCAAGGATTCTGTAATGGAAATCGCTTCAGCAATTAGCACTATTCATCTCACTGTCAGAAGTGGTGTTGACTATTAGTAATAAATTACCTTTCGCAAGACTGGGCTTTTCCACGCTCCTTTTATACCTAGACCGCAACAACTGTTTTACCAAATTAGACCCGGTATCAAGACAGTTTAGAAAGCAAGAGAGGAGCAGGAAGTTTGTTTCCTTCAACCCAAAGAAGGAGAGCCATGAGGAAAGTCTGCATGTTCAGCAGAAGAACTAATGCAAAAAGGAAAATCTGCCCTAAGGGAAAACTGCGGTGGATGTGGAGAGCCACCGAAGCAGAACAAGTCAGATCCATACACAGAGAGGAAAGCCATTTTGCACAGGTCAAAATTTTTCCAATAGCTTTTTAAAAAGAAAAACAAAGCTAAAAAATCCTGTATTTGGTTTAAATGAATGACTGATTATTCAGATCCTACAAGCATTGTCTTTCTCCTGTAGCACTTGTCTGCTAACCCACAGAATATCCAACAAACTGAACTCCAAACCACAGGAACTGAGGCACGGGCACGTTGAGGTTATTGGGCAAACACCTGGATACAAAGAAATGCATGAAACATTGGGCAATCCACCTCCACCTTTACTTGAGGTGTAATAAATCTTAGTACCGACATAGTGGTAGAAATGGAGCTGCTTCCTCTCCTAGACCATGCAGCAAACAGCCCACCCGAGCGATCACTCGCCACCATTTTGCTTTAATGCAACATCAAGCTTGTGGTGGATGAAATAAAACAATCAATTTGGCACTGAACGCAAATTGTAACTTCCCAGCAGAAGTTTCTTTTTAAATAAAGAGCTTTGTTTTTTTTAAATAGCCCACCAGGAGTCGCCTTTCGCTGAAGACGGGAAGTTTGACTTTCCTTTTCACAGAACATGTAAGTGCTCCGACTTCAAAATTGTTTGAATTTCATTTTTGCTAGATTCAGTGAAAGACGAGTATTCCCTCTGACCTAGACAGTGCAGGGAGTGATCTAGCTCTCATGAATTTTGATCAAGATTATGTCTGGAATAAAGCAAACATGATAGGGAAAATAAAAAAAAAAAAACCAAAACCAAACAACAGAAGGAAAAAAACTAACAACAAAAGCAAAAGCGGTGTTGCATTTTTGCAACTCCACTAACAAATGTTTACAACAATAGTGTGTTAGAAAGCACTGACTTACAGACAAAATAGATAAAATGCACAGCTGCATTGACCTGGGTTTTTCATGAGACCTTAACTTCATCTTTAGGGGGAATAGGGGGAGCAGTATTTGAAGTAGAGACTCAGAATTTGGCCGAAGTAATTGTTTGCAAGTACATGAATACCATAATACTGTAATAGGGAAGACTAGTTACCGTTCTTTTCACAGCTACTACACAGGCGCAAGGAACTATGTGCAAGCAATGCAGTTCACGAACACAAGCAATGCCATAGTGGTCTGCACTGCTATATCTTAACTTCAAGCTATGCATGTTACAGAAAAGGTAGGCTTCAAGTATAGAAATTTTAAAAAGTAAAACATACTGTCATAATCTCTAAAATCAAATTCATTTACTAGAAGTGCCATTTTAAAGACTCTAGAGAGCTAAAAAAGTAGGTTTAGGAAATTTTATAATGATATCTCTAAAAAAATTTCATATTCTGTTTTTTTCTCAGCTCTCAGGAGTGTAAGACAAACACTTCCTGAAGAAGGAGGATCTCAGTTAGGGCACTTTCTCTATTACCTAATAGCATTAAGCACCTATTTCTAGAAATTTTTTTATATCCGCAAGTGACATCTTATTTAATATTGATCATCCTGCACTCCAGAGAACAGCAATTTTTTTGAAGGAATTCTTTTTAAATAAAAGATTTTTTAATTTGTTTTCCTGACAGCAGAACAAAGATTTGGATCTGGAATAGCCCCACAAGGCAAATGAGCTCCTGCGGTTTAACTGAGATACTTCTGTATATAAATCACACACAGAACAGTGCATGTAAGATGTTATACATGCATTACATCTCTAGGTAAAAATATTACTTCAGCTGAAATAAATGTAAAAAAATGCAATATTTAAATTCATACATTCGCTATTTGTCAAATCTTTTTATATGCCCCTTTGCAAACATGGCAACTACTGAAATGTTATCAAATGAATGTAACAAAGAAGAAGATGGAGAAATAATTCACTTGAAGAGCTCTGAAGAATTCCGAGCTATCATGCTGTGCAATTCATTCAGGATTATTGAAGCTCACAGGTGTGTCAATTTGAAATATTAAGTATGGGAAAGTTAGTAATAAACTAGTTTTACAAACTGCCATCCAACACAGTCAGCATATCAAGAGTTAACGCATCACTTGCATGATGCAAAACAGCTGTGTCCTTCACCATCCTCACAGCTCTTCATTAACTCTTCAGAAGTTTGAGCATCTTGGATATTTCAGGAAAAGTTAGACGAACCACATGAGAATCAAAATACTACACATCATCACTTCACCAAGTATCTTTGCTTCACAGATTTCAAAAAAGCAACAGAGACTGAGTACTGTCCTGTATCACAGAAGCAAACTGTGTGAAAACCCCATGCATAACCCAAAAATTTTAAACCCTGCTCTTTTTTTTTAAAGGTTAAAAAAAAAGTGCAAATATCCGTCAGCAAGCACTATATACAACACTTTATTAATAAACTTCTATTTAAATTTGTGCATCAATATGCTAGAAAAGTAAATAGCTTTACAAAATAAGTGAAATCACCCCATATAGCTATTTCATTTTTCTCATTTTAACACCTTTACATGATAATATCTCAAAAAAACCCCAGATCTACCAAACCAGCTCAAGACTTTTAGAAATTTTAATGCTATTTTAAATTATGCAAATAATAAGAAGGCTTGAAACTTGAAAGCAGCATCGCAGCATTAGCTAAGAGTAGCCAAAGTGCTGAGAAACTATTCACATTTTCTCTATTTCTTTGGAGAGACACACAGGAAAAAGGTAAAAATTAATTGTATTCTACTACAGTAAAACTCTCAGTCTTTCCCTAGTGTAAAAGAGCATACACTGCTCCTTTTTTATCACTCACATGACTCCTAAGATGAGAAAAGCCAGACACTGAATTTGCCTGGAGAGGCATCTAAAGAGCTGTGTAAGTGGAGACCGACAATCATTCCTTAAGCGCTCTGCTCTTGGAAAGCCTGGCTGCGATTGCCATCTGTGCACGCCCAGCAATCAGGGAAACTTCTCTTGGAGAAGCATCACTCCGAAAACTTCCACACACAAAAACTGTAACCAGTAAAAGTAGTAATAGGAAAATAAAAGTTACCCTTTGGCATGAATTATTTGTTAACAAGTAAGCTTTAAGGAGATTGTAGATACATGAGAAATTAAAGGTTTTAGGAAAAGAATCAGGACATGTTTGCCACTTACATGAAGTTACTAGATGACTTCAAGATAGGCTATAACAAAGTTGTTGAGAGGTTTAATGATTACATTAAAAGCTCAACTGTTTCAGGATTTTGATTTGATGAAACACAAAACGATGTCATTAAAACACAATTTGAAGGAGAATAAATCCTGTGCCACAAGTTTCCAGTCCTAGACGGCATGTTTGGTAAATCATCATATTCCTTCTAAAATAAACAAAAAGCCAGAAGACCACATGCTAAAAGTTACCTTACTTGATCTTTTCCAACTCTTCCTCATTAGCATTGTCTGAAAATAAAATAGAGCATTTTAATTACCTTTTCTCTGCAGTACAGAAAAGGAGGCCAACTGTCTCCAACGGGACAATCCACATTTAACCACCACTACAACTGAAGCAGCAACACTCACACTACAGCGACAGCTACACAAGACTGAAATAACTCCAGACAACTAGCAGCACTGTTTGCACCCAGGCATACTTTTCTGTGTGGTATGAACGTCTCATTTCTGGAGACAATGCATTATGTGAAATCATTTAAAAAAGCAAGCAAGCAAGAAAGAAAGAAAGAAAGAAAGAAAGAATTAGATAAGCAAATGAAAAAAATGAATGTGCCATTACTGATAGTGACTTCAATTTTTACTGATACTTGAATGACAGTTTTTTTAATATTAATGTACTCTAATTTTTCGGAACACCACTGTTTAGCTCACAGGTGTAGCCATGTAAGAGAAATCCTGCAAAAGGCTCCTTGGACAATATGCATCTATTACAAAATCCTTAAGGTTACCACTGCTAATCAGTTTCACAGCAGTAAAAATATCTCTTTTGTTTGACAATTATGCACATGGGATAGAAACAAAGTCATGCGTTGACTCTTTAAAAATCCCAAAATGCAGTAGCCCTATCCCATTACCTAACTAATCTGTAAAACCTTGGCACTGCTAGAGACAATGCTCTGACATGCCAGGAGGCAAAGTGTCCACAGACAGATTCTTAACCATTAAATAAAAGAGACATACTGGTCAAGACAGATATAGACAATTTATCTGTGAACACAACTGTTGCTTAAAGCGGTTCTGTGGAAATACAGAGCAATTAATTTGTAGAATTTAGTAACATTTAGCAGCCTGTTGTGGACACTGAGCAAGAATAAATCAAAGGCCGTTAATTTCTATTGAAAATTTCTTTATGTCATGACAAACTTTTTTTTTTAATTAGCGATTGCAAAAACACTTTCTTTTTCAGATAATGGAAATAAATTTTGAAATGCAAACATTTTCCTTGCTAGGAAATAAAAGTATTACATGCGGAAAAAATGAAAATGGGAGCAAATATGTGGGGCTTAGATCTTTGAAAATATCCAGAAACTTTTCAAATAGACACAGTTTTTTGGGAGAAGAAAAACAACTAGCTGCTGAGGAAAACTAAGTTGCTATGGACAGTTAAAGCCTACAGCCTCTGCAGTGAGTTGATGATAACTGTAGCACTGTGGCTTTGGAAAATATACACAGACGCTAAATAAAGCTGGAGAAAGCCATTTATCTCATTTTTATAGGAGAGGCACATAAGAATTAAGCAGCTTGAGGCCTGCAGCAGGCCCTGGAGAAGACCTCCAAGCTCCTGCAACATACCACAGCTCCTCCCTTCCTCGTCATTGCTGAATCCCACACAGCTATAAGTCAGAGCACAAATTCAGCTTCACCGGGCTTCGGACCAGGCCGTGAGCAAGGAGGAGAATACAGCCCGACAGCTGAATTAACTACGTACCAAATACTATTTCAGCTCTGAGGAGTTCACTTTGAGTAGTAGCTACAGAAACGTATGACCGTACTTGTTGAGTGCATCAGCATCATTACCACCTGTAGCAGGATAAGCTGAAGCCATCATAACCATCCTGAGAAGCCAATAAACCATATATATAGCATAGGGCAGATTATGATGGATGATCTACATGGAACTATTTCATCTGAAAATATTCCATGCCCTGAGTCCATCTCTGTCATTCTTTTTTTCCTAAGCTGTTATTATCCCTCTGGCAAATTAAAAAAAAAAAAAAAAAAAAAAATTACATTGTAAGATTTAAGACAGCAAGCAAATTGGCAGCATATTACTGTTGTTAATATTTTCATATGAAGCAAAAAAGTATTAAGCATCACTTGGGATAAATTATTTAAGGAAAAAACAATGCTGTGAATTTTATTCTCATTAAATAACAACATCCAAGTAGCACTCATATGTTTCCTTTTCTCCGTTTCCTATGCTACTCAAGCCATTGGCTGTGGTGGAACAGCAGTCCCCAATCCCTGCTGGCCCCAAGGCAGCAGCTCCCATCAAGCTACCGACTTTCTAATTTCCTGTAGCTGAGGGCTGCCTGTAAGAGCAAGGTTGGAAACAACTGCTGTAGAGAAGACACGGGAGACATGCAGCTCTGACGAACTCACAGTCACTCTGCAAGTTCCCCAGTGACGAAATCTGTGCACTGAGCTCTGCTGGAGGAAGAGCCAGAAAAACTCACACGCACTGCGGCACCGATGATTACAACACCAAACACAGAACCTGCAGACATCACGTGCACGTTTTCAGTTGGCATGCATGCAACTACAAATGGCACACAGGCATGCACAGCACTACATGTATCCAAAGGGAAATATTAACAGAATACTGTCTGAATTAAAGAAACAAAACAGACGTCACTGGAGCAGGTCTAAGAAAAGAATCAAGTCATTGCTAGTTCTGACTTCTTTTACACTGGTCATCAAAAAGAGAAATCAATGAAAAATACAGAAAGTACATCATAAACACATTATTTTTTAAAAGAAGAGTTAAAAATAATAAAATTTTTTTAAAGCTCATGTTTTAACATTTTTATATACACATACTTTTTCCATACTTTTTTATTTCAAGTCTTCTTTGTTTACACTAGTTATCTAAGCTAGCTGTCCTCTCAAAGCAAAATAATTAAAAATGCTGCGTTAATCTAAAGGACAAGTGTTGTTAACAGGACAGAGCAAATGCAAATGGATTACTGGAACTAGTGCTACTGCAACTTAATTGTGTTAGGCTGGAAAAAGATTATACTTTTCACAAATACTAAAGACATTCTCATTTTTACGGTTGCATAAGAATAATTAGTTAATCAATTTTGATTCACAATTCATGATTGTTCAAAAATCAGAACAAATCAGATTACTTTCATTTATCAAAACTCAAAAGAATAGGACTTCTATTCATGTACATAGTTTGAATGATGTATTACAGGATTATTACTTTAAAAGTTCGTATTTTTATGCCTTTAGAACAAGCACTAGGTCGCAAAAGACAAAGATACTTACATACAAGGTTTCCTAGAAATTTTGATTTGTTCATGTGCCACGCTCATATGTTAACATTCAATAACTGCAGGCTACTTCTGCATTTTCTTCCAAGAAAACGTACTACAAAAATCAAATAGTGTGTTCTTACTTATGAAACCAGTATACTGAATCTCCTGTAATTGAAACCATGTCCGATATTCTTCTACTGGAAACACACAAATTGTAAACTACTTAAGCGCTGTTTTTCACAATCCACCAGGACTCAAAGATAAATACTCCCCTCTCCTAGTCTGTAATATAATTTTACATACAGTTACACAAACATATGCATATGTTAATATCCTTAATTGATATTTGAATCCAAAGATGTAATCTGTTTTCATCTTAGGAAATGGGACCTTCCAGCTATAAATTCTAAAGAACACCTCATCAGTCAGCACACTGAAAATCTGCATTTCATCAGAATTTCTTTCAGAAAGATACGGAACAGGATGCTCCTGTGTGTACCAAATTTCTCTCTCATGTCTTTGCACACCTCAAGGCTTCACAAAAGATAGTTCTATCCAAAACAAACTATTACTCTTTCAAATTGATTGCTTATTTTTTAAGTCATTTGTAATAATACCTCTCTCACAGACAGGCGGCAATGTACAACGAGGCCCCCAATTTTGTACCATTTAACCTCAAACTTCCAACTGGCATATCTTATCCTCCAGCAGTGTCAATATTTCTTGCACAGTATAACAGGATGCATCTTCCTGTAATATACAGGTACATTATTTTGATATGCCAATAAAATGCTTTGAAACAAGACCTGTCCTCTAGCTACACAAACGCGTTGTCAAAAAACCTTCCCTTTATCTGTACATCAATGCATGACCTCCAAAACACTCTCAGTCGCTGCAGTTCTGGCAGCAAGGGGATCTCCTTGGGAAGCCTAATCCGCGTCAAAAAGTTACCAGATGACACATCACAAAAAGCAAGTCTTGCTCAACAGGGCTGGGTTTGGATTGTGACTATAGAGCTGCCCAAAATACAGGATCAGACATAATGCTGCTTCTATGGCTACACAGGAAAGCTTTTACTTCTTTTGCTGAAGCTATTCCTTTTTTTATTTCCCCAATGGTCTTAATAAACACTCTCATTTTAGGTATATGGAATTAAAGTACTGAAATTTAAGTACTAGCAGTTAATTTCTGAATTCTTCAGCTTGATGATTTAACCATTTTACACGTGACAACATGTGCAAGCAATTTAGAGTTATCACCTGAACAAATTAAAACTTACTCAGAAGAAAATGTATTTTTGAAATGTAGGCCATATAGGGATATCAAACGAACAGGATTTAAGAAAATTTGCAATGAATTAGGAAAAAAATGCATGTGCTGTGAAGAGACAGTGTTTCTATGTCTTCTATGCAGCAGTCATTAAAGCATATTTAAAGGTGCTCACAGGTTTTTATCTAAATATTTCAACTATACTATTTGAATTATTAATTATATAGAGATATCCAGGTAGAAGGGAAGCAGTAATCGTTCAAACAGCACGCTACACAGATTGGGAATGTAGGAGTTGCTTTAATTACTACTTTATACGGTGCACATTTCCAGAGTGGGCAAGAATTAGTCTCGATCCTCTAACATAACATTTTAAAATTTATTGATCTCAACCATATTAAATTCAATAAAAATTATCCTCATTATTACAAGACCTTTTAAAAATAACCAAGGATGACAGTTTAAATGGAGTGATACATTTTGTAATATATCTGCTCCTTAGAGAGTAAATAAAATCTGATAAATAAATAATTACATGTGGTAACCGAATAAAAGATAATTGCGCCTTGAATTATTAAACTCCTAACACATTCATAGACAGCAATTCTGTATTAATTTTGTAGGTCATCTTCCCTACATTTTGACACACATGCTCTGATTTTACTGCAACTTTTTTAGAACTGCTCTGAGATGCGTATCTTGGGAAGACTGGTTTCTAATAATAAAGTTTCAGCTTAGGAATCAGAAGCTTAATCTGAATCTTGAGCATTTTCAGAATGAAGTCCCATATAACAGTTTGAATGGGAAGAAGAATTGCTCACTTAAACTAAGCTAAAAGGATTAGCTTACTAAACAGAAAGCTAATAATGAAATGCATAATAGCACAAAACCAATTCTTCCTCCTATCCAGTCAGTTGGATATGAAAAAAGTTGCTACCCAGCAAGTCTATGGCGCTCCCATTACTTTTGACGTTCAGTTGCGAATTCACCGAGTAAATACCCATATGAAAGACATGTTACGCTGTAGTGTCTTAATTTCATTTTCTCACCTGTGATTTTCTTGAGCGCTCTTTGTGTAATAGCTGATAACACTGAGCGGCACAGTAGCTATCCTATCTGTATGATGAAAAAAGGAAGCTAATGTGGTGTCCACATAAAGGTTTCCCACATAACAATACAGTATTTCTGTGCTGTATGATTTAGGATTATGGCAGGATAATGCCAAAGCCACTTGGAAAAACAGGGCTATTACCAACTGACTCAGAAATGCTAGTCCTACCCAAATACACACAAAAAAACTCTCGAATGGAATACATTTTTCAATTTAAGTGATAAACACTTTTGTGGTGCAAATTTGCAAGACAGTACTCTGAGTTGTCTGGACAAACGTATTGCTAAAAGAAAGAACAATACACTGTTTAAATAAACATCCTGCACATTACTACCATTTTCCATTACTTTTGTTAAGTTCTAACAGAACGTCATGAAGAAAATTAACAGATGAGAAACCTATTTTCAAAACTACATCTCTGTCATACCAGATACCAAACACCTAGTTCCAATAACTGACTTACTAGGCTATTTAATAATAGCAAAGAGAAAAGTGGAAAAAGAACAATATTACAACCCACCAATATTCCTCAGGTATGCAACAGGGTGACGTGTCACACTGCGGCATACAGAAACATATATGCTCTTACAAAAACCATATAGTTGAGCATATCCATGGAAAATTTCATCAGATAAATACTTTTTGTTGGCCTCTCTGAAGCCAAAGGAATCCACATTATTTTAAAACCTCTGAGCAACATCATCTCTCATTTCTGCCATAGTTGTAGTATTATTGCTCAAGTCAAAAGTCAACTGACAAAAAGCTCATAAAATACATCCAACTAGAGACAGAATTTGTCACAACTAACAGGATCTATAAAACTGGAAACTATTTTCACTTAGAACTAAGCAGCTCAGAGAACTAAGATTGATGAAGGAATTACAATAAACCTAGAAAACCACACAATTTTGTAATTGAAATCTGGTCATGAAATTGAAAAATATCAACTAGTACTTCATCACTAGATGCCAAAAAGCAGAAATACTACCTTTCTTCAAGTTTCTTTATTTTCAGCGTGGAATAGGATTCAAATGTTCTTATCTAGAGATGGCAGCACTAGGTCCAAAATTCTTCACCAGTGGCTTACTGACATTTTTCCACGTTGATCAGCACCATTCACCTGCAACTGACTTTATCTGAAACTGCTGAACATTTATGTTCCATCTGGATCCCTTGGTACTATCTCAGGGAGGATCCAATTCAGATGAAGTATGCTGTACTATACCAGAAACACTGTCCAGCATTATTTTAAGAATTGGAAAAACCAAATTCATCTCAGAATATGTGGTTTACTCTTGTGCTTTAAGTCATCCAACCATGGGAACAATTGCAAGAGTGATGACACATATTAAAATATTTAAAATTACCACTTCTCGCTGTTCTTCTCTAGGAGCCAACAGAACTGATAACAATATACTTCCCAGATCATGGTCAGGGTAATGAGGATCCTTCAGACTCAAGGTAACATCTGTTTGCCTAGAAGACAAAAATATATGCATTTCTTTTGATTTCAGGCTCTCAGATAATGAAATTTCTGAATCATGAGAATTAAAGGCATCTGCATTTATATGGAACTACTTGAAAATGGTTTCACAAATTTACGCCCTTTCTACTTTTAAGTATTGCAGTCTAAACACTCATAAATAAATACTCAATATTGTTACTCTGTGTTAAGTACTTACACATAATGAAGTAATCAAATCTGAACTGTAACATTAAGGGATTAAAAAACAGAAAAAAAACCCAACAGTAGGTGGTAATGCTGTGAACGAAGATAATATAAAAACAAGATTAAAGTGGTTATAAAACTAACCTCTCCATAGACACTGTAAAAAATGTTGTGCATGATCAGTTAATATGTTATTAACATTCATATTACAGTAATTCCCTAAACATAAGTGTTTTTCCTCAGCTAGTTTTATGTGGTGTAGGTTTATGTAATTATTTTCCAGCACAACGTTCTACTTGCAATTCCACAAACATGATACTAACAGACAACCATAAAGAATGACTCCGTAGGCTTGTTTGTGCCATACCTGTTCAATTCCAATGAAGTGAGATCCAAAAATGCTGAACCAATAAAGTCATCTTGAAGTCCAAAGTCATAGTCAAAGACCTAAGAGGCACAGGAGATAAATGCATTGGAAATTTTTTTTTTTGACATTTTCTGGCTTTATGAATGGTTCTTGAAATTCCTTTTCCAGAGTTAAGCCACATGTTTCTCACATGTCAAATCAGGACTATCGGAAAGCAACCTGCAACTTTCTGGCCACAAAATCAAGTTTGAAACTGCTTATGTAAAAGTCAGAATGCATCATGTACAGGCACGGGGGTATACTGCTACTAGACCACATATGTGAACCACATCAACTTTATAAAAACAAAGGAAGCATTTTATAAACATAGGCACTAAAAGAAGGAAGGCCAAAAGAATAACTAAAGTTAAGTAGAATCATTGCTTTGCTATACATTAATTGATACCTTTATCAATTTTGCAAACTACAGGCAGGAGGGCAGATGTGATTGTGAAAAGTGGGTTATTACAGCACTTGCATCAGTATCAGGAATGATAAAATTGTCAATTTTGAAGGTTATATACGTTTCTAGGGTTTAGAAATATTATAATCTAAAACGAAAACTTAATGGATATGTGTAAGGAAATACAAAATACACAAATACACATTTGTTACTCTACTATGAGGACCCTGCCTGCTAACTTGCTACCCAAAAGAGAAAGCATCTGGACAAATTTACTGACATCCAGACAGGAATCTGTGGCCAGTATGTGGAATAGCATCAATGATTTGAGATGGATTATGCCTCCCAAGTCAGAAGAAAGAAAAACAAACTGGGGATGACTTTCAGAGGGAAATAAACGAAAAGGTGGATGGCAACAAAGAAAAGTTGTGACACAAAATTACAAAAACAAAAAATGGGAAAATGTCAGTTATCGAAATCAAATTTTCTAGGTAAGTTGATTTTTCTTGGCAAATATTGTCATGAGAATTTCTGAGGACCAGAATATACTTTCAGCTCTAAGTAAGAGTGAAACTTGTGAACAGCTAGTAATGAGAACATTTAACTGAGATGTGACAGGCCTAGGTTCAAGGTCTTCAATTTTGATAGTAATACTTCAAGTATTTTAATACAGAAACTCTTCTCCAGGAGGCAGTTAAAGCTGTTCATCTTCTAAAAATACCTTAATATGGCCTGGGTTAAGACAATAGTAACAGAAATCCCATAGCCCAATGGCTACAGCATTGCTGCAGGACTGAAAGAGTTGAATGGGAGTATTTCAGCACAACTCTCTCATATGCATTGATCTACCCGAGTGGGTACCTTCATATTTTCTCTGTCTAATATTCATTCTAATGGGGAACGAAAACAAATGATGAAATCTCAGTTCATGTTGCAAAATAGAATTGTTTTCTCCCCCGACAAGTTACCAAGATGAAAACGTCAAATAAATATTTTCAGCTGACTTTCTGAGTGGTGCGGTCAACACGCCAGAGGGACGGGATGCCATCCAGAGGGACCTGGACAAGTGGGAGAAGTGGGCCTGTGTGAACTGCATGAGGTTCAACAAGGCCAAGTGCAAGGTCCTGCACCTGGGTCAGAGCAACCCCCGGTATCAATACAGGCTGGGGGATG